AATCTTTTTTTGTGGGATTACTTTGTCAATAGAATAAATATTTTTCTCATGCTAAACATTCGCCCATGTTGTATGTAGTCAGCCGATGTGAATATTAGAAATGTTTGGTTATAGTTTAAAGATTAAAGCGTTATGCTAGGTACTTCATTTCTTATTGTAATCATACTATTGTAATCAATGCTTACGGACGTCAGGTAGGATTACCCATGGCTTAAGACTTTGATGGGAAACAAATTTATATTTGACGTAACTGGCCATTTTAATGTCGCTTGATTGGTGTAGATCATAAAGTCGTGTGATATTTAAATTAGATTTTTAATAAATATTTAGTTTTTCAGTCTATAAAATATTTCTTCTGATTGTATCCAATTAAGGCAATCTTGAAGGAAGGTAAAGAAAAGTTCTCTTAAAAAGAATAGACTTTAAACCAATAACCACTTTTAGATTTAAAACATTGTATTTTTTCTTATACTTTTTGTTCATCAAAAGCAGCCGAATCATTTGTTTCGCTTTGTAATACAAATAATGAAAAGAAAAAAAAACGATTGCTTACTAACGCTAAGACGTGTGACGTCATCATTTCCGCCCCTCTCTCCCCACCCCCTCCCCAGTGAATCACATTTGACGAACAGGATCTTCCTACTCTGCAGTACTCCCACAAACTTTGGGCGAGGTTACTTGGTGCGTTCCACTACCTCTCTCACCCCCCCCCCCCCCCATCATACCTCCTCCTAAGCTGGCACCCCTCCCCTCAACTTTAAAACAACCCCTCTTTGTTCTTGTGTCGCGCTATCCTCTTAACTTTATCACCCATAGGACTATCACAAAAGGAAGCTTTTATCCGCTCTTCAAAACCAGTTGTAATTATAATCAAAAAGATAATTGTAATCAACTAATAAATCTACAAGGCACGAAACAGAAAGTTTGGAGGAATGAAGGAGGCGGCGATTAAAATTTTGCGAATAGCTCTTAAAAACACTACAAACATTTAGCCTGCTAGAAGAAAAAAAAATAATATTAAAAAAAAAAAAAAAACTCTTTAACTAAAAGTAAAGCCAGCCAGTTTTCTAATCTTTTGAAGAAGAAATAAAATTCAAATAAAAAAAAAACGACAAAAAGATAAGCAGCGTATACCGCGTCAGTTCCATTGGGGTAAAAAATTTAAAAATTCCGCCGCTGATATATTTTGTTCTTTAGAATACCATACTCAGACACGTCATCGGTGTGTGTGTCCTTTCTTCATGTCCGTGGATGAAAATAATTACAAGATTTACTTTACTCTTAGACATGGGCGACTCACTTCTATTACCCCCAACCTCACTCCCTATCACCCCCCTACACTACACCCCGCCTACACCACACCCCCTACACCACCCCCCCCCCTACACCACACGCCCCACCCCTATATGAACCTGGCTATGACGGATGGAATAAAAACTTTATTCGGCACGCGGGCTGGCACGAAATGTGTAATGTTGACTGTAGTGGATGGCAGAGATAGATCTACATCGCACACACAAACGTAGGCCATCATTTCTCCACAGTTTTCCATTGAGTAAATATAAGTTTCAATTTTTTTTTACGTCAAATAGAAAAAAAATCACCATCCATATCCACAGTGTATTTATAGAATGGACAGCTGGATGTGGTGTTTATTTTTTTCATTAATATATATATATATATATGTATATATATATATATATGTATATATATATATATATATATATATATATATATATATATATATATATATATGTATTTCCAAAGAAAAGACCCTATACCTAATAGCCCTTCCCCCTTGTGTTATCTACCCAATGTATCTGTACCCCAATCCCATTACCCCCGAGCAATTGTAGACATTCCAATTCCAGATACTCATCTCTGCTGGATCCGAACCTTTTACGAAAACGACGTATTATAACGGACATGCGCAGTTGTCAAGCGTAGAAAAAATGGCGAACAATAAATAAGTCGATCTGATACAGTTTTTTTGCTGTTTATTTTTGTGCACCCAAAAAAATAAATTGTTTAGACGATTTATGTTAATAAAAAACCTAATCAGATTTTAAATATTTCTTTTCTATATATTTATCTTTAAAATAAATAACATTTTTCAGTCTTTTTTTTTTTAACGCAAGGTAATACGAACGCATCAATGCGAATACATAATCAAGAAATTGCATTGAACTAAACATTTCAAACGGTCTAGTATTATTTAGAACTCTATTTCAGCTGTAGACTGCTAAGAATCTATACATGAAATAAAGACATTGACTCACAAACGTTTAACAGAAACCAAATAAAAGCGAAAAGTCCAAAATTCACTTAAACCTCGAGACATAGCTCCGTGGTGACAACTTCCTTCACTTCATCAACGAAAGAGCTCGGCGGAAAGGGCAGACAATCGCTTATGATTACATCCCTTTTGACACCCAGCTAAAAGCAACAATTTGGCCAGGGCTTGTCCGTGCGAGCCAAAACCCGAGTTGCCGCATCAGCCGTTGAATAGAATGCGTCATTCGTCTATTGAAACGAACCCGCTTCTTTCCGTTACATCTAAGTATATTCGCCATTTACGGACCTCCCGGTTGGCTTTTGAGAAAGTGAAGTTAAGTGTAAGATTTTAGTGAAGACAAATGAATGGGGAAGAAGGTGGCTTGATTTTTAGAGGATCAATTTCTTCGGCAAGACGCGTTCAATTGTTTTCTTTTATTTTGGCGTGGTCTTAGTACCGTGGAGCGACGGAGATTATAGTTGTATTAGAAAAACATAGTGGGGCAGATATTAGAGCAATAAGTAAGCGCGACAGTACTAGAAGTCAATACTAATCAAAGCTGTGAGGTTAAACTAATCTGGTGTAGTTAAAATGTTGCAGCGGAAAATCTGAAGGAAAATACGTATAATTGTTGTCAAGCTGTTCCCAAGAAGCCAAAATGCTACATCATCACGAACCGGAGTGGGCGTTGGAAATGCCACTGCATATTAACATTGCCGAAGGGTGTTTTTGCATTTCATAAATTTGATAAGCGGCCTTTTATTCAAGTTATGTTTAAAAACAAATGCGGACAAAAAAAAACTATGTAGCGTACACGTACACAAACACTTTAAGAAACAATAACGATTTAGAAAAGCACATGTAATGATTACATATTAATAACGACTAAGTTTGTCATCTAAACCAACACAAAAGTTTTCTTTTTCTACTGTTGGAAAACCGGTAAGGGCCTATATTTGCATAGGTTTATAATAAGGATCATCATTTGTCGATCTTAATTTTTAATAGGTTAATAGGTATTATCGTAGAAAAGATTTCATGAGTTCGAATTTTGATAGGCCAACTCAAATAAGTTTCAGCCTTTCAATCAACCACAGTATATGTAACATCGAACGTAGTCAAAAAGACATGTGACCTGTATGTTTTACAGTTGTGACATGGACAATGGTCGAGATGACTTTTACATGTGACCTCTCTATGTTTTACACCCGCACGAGACGACCCCCACAGTTTAGCATATCACTTGAACAAGACAGGATGGTGATTTATGCTAAGTGCATATGCTAATGTGAAACGGTATCCGACCATAATCCTCTCACCCCCACCCTCCCACCCCCGGGGCAAGCAGTCCGGCGTCTAACGATGGTAGCTGACATGTTATTGAAGGATGTTCTTGTTGGGTGACCGGAAGTCGATGCCCTCCTCGTCTCACCAGCTCGGCTTTTGCAAAAATAAGAGAAATAGCCCTGATACAGATGGATTCACCTGCAGCTAACTCAGGTAGACACATCTGATGCTAGACACACCTGATGCTAGACTCACCGGATGGTGACAACACCTTTACACACCTGATGCCAGACACCTGATGCCAGACACACCTGATGCTAGACTCACCGGATGGTGACAACACCTTTACACACCTGATGCTAGACACACCTGATGCTAGACTCACCGGATGGTGACAACACCTTTACACACCTGATGCCAGACACACCTGATGCTAGACACACCTGATGCTAGACACACCTGATGCTAGACTCACCGGATGGTGACAACACCTTTACACACCTGATGCCAGACACACCTGATGCTAGACACACCTGATGCTGGACACACCTGATGCTAGACACACCTGATGCTAGACACACCTGATGCTGGACACACCTGATGCTAGACACACCTGATGCTAGACACACCTGATGCTAGACACACCTGATGCTAGACACACCTGATGCTAGACACACCTGATGCCAGACAAACCTGATGCCAGACACACCTGATGCTAGACACACCTGATGCCAGACACACCTGATGCTAGACACACCTGATGGTGACAACACACCTGATGCTAGACACACCTGATGGTGACAACACACCTGATGTCAGACACACCTGATGCTAGACATACCTGATGCTAGACACACCTGATGTCAGACACACCTGATGCCAGACACACGTGATGCCAGACACACCTGATGGTGACAACACACCTGATGTCACACACCTGATGCTAGACACACCTGATCACAAACCTGATGCCAGACACACCTGATGGTGACAACACACCTGATGGTGACAACACACCTGATGGTGACAACACACCTGATGCCAGACACACGTGATGCCAGACACACCTGATGGTGACAACACACCTGATGTCAGACACACCTGATGTCAGACACACCTGATGTCAGACACACCTGATGCCAGACACACGTGATGCCAGACACACGTGATGCCAGACACACCTGATGGTGACAACACACCTGATGTCAGACACACCTGATGTCAGACACACCTGATGTCAGACACACCTGATGCCAGACACACGTGATGCCAGACACACGTGATGCCAGACACACCTGATGGTGACAACACACCTGATGTCAGACACACCTGATGCCAGACACACCTAATGGTCAACCCACTGATGCCAGACACACCTAATGGTCAACCCACTGATGCCAGACACACCTAATGGTCAACCCACTGATGCCAGACCTACCTGGATTCTCTTTGTCCGGTTGCCGGACGATGACATCTCGGGGCGGGGCAAACCTTGTGGCGGCCGACAAGAAAGACGTCTGCTTGCGCTGGGCGGCCTGTGACCTGGGCTTGGCCATGGTGGGCTTCACCTGGCTCTTCTCGAAAGCCTCGGCCACGTCATAGGACCCCGGGGGTGGAGCATCCTGAAATACACACAAATTCGGGAACGTTAGCGTTTAGCTTAAAGTTTAGTTGCTTTAGTTATAAATAAATAGGCTAAATTTTATCTTTATCTTTTTTTTTTTCGTTATTCCCAAGACACTTACGGCAGATGAAGCAGAGTTCATCTGTTTCAATGAGGGGTAGTTTGGCCAGCCATATACCCGGAAGCCTTTACTTCCCCTAACTTGAGTCAGGTACTCATCAGAGCTGAGTGGACTATGTGACGTCTGAAGGTCTCAAGCCGGAAATTTGACATAAAGTCGACAAACACGTACCTTTTTTTTTTTTTTTGAAAAAAAAAGCCCACTTTTTATTCGAAAAAAAAAAAAGAAACCATTGATACAAGTGGAGTAAATTTAACAAAAGCCCATACGTTGAAGCCCTACTATTACAATTCCTCTTTTAAAAAACAAACACAATTCAACATATGTGAGTACACCAAAAGCCCACCATCTCCCTTAGAACAATATCCCAGCCTTGTGTGGCTTGTTCAAAGCCCACACTAGGGCAGATAAAACGCCCACTACACTTGAAAGAAGAAGAAGAAAAAACAAAGTGTACTTGAATGGCCCCTTTGGATCAACCCACCCCCCGGCTCGCTATAAACAGGGATTACTGCAAGGTATACTTATGTCCCGGGATTAACGGAACGTTGTTGTTCAAGGGCCGAGAACTCTGTGTGGTCCTATCAGAGTTAATCTCAAAATTAGCTTCCCTTCTCAGTTTGTACTGATGGAAGTTTGGTAGTAGTTCTTTTTTTTTTTGTTTTTTTTTTCTGTGTACACGTGTGATGGATGATGGATTAAGCCAGGCTCACGATAACAATCAAGTTCATTTCGCCCCAACCTGATTCACTTCAACATTCGTATTCACTTCAACTTGATAAAGTTCAAACATATTTTAGTTCAACTATATTCACTTCATCGAGATGCTTCGTTTCAACTTAAATCATTTCACTCCTATATTTAGTTCAAGTATCATTTGATCACCCCATGCGGATCATCTCAACGACAGAATCGTTGAGCCTCTCTCCGACTGTGTCGTTGAGAATAAAACCCTTTGGTGGTTTCTCAGTCAACACTGTCGTTGAAAATAAAACAATAATTAAACATGCTCTCCACAATTAGGAAAGCATAAACTGTAGGTGTTTTGAAGCTAATATTCCAGCCATTTTGTTTTGACGAGAGCTAGTCCAGGTCTAGATCTAGACTAGATCTACTTGATCAACGATTTACACTGATGTAAAATCTACGTAAATCTACAAGATCTAGATTTACATTTAGATCTAGATCTAGAAATCTACATTATTGACTAGAGAGAAAAAGTTAAAAGTATGCCTAGTGCGTCGAAAGTAAATGATAGAATCTAGATCTAGAATCTAGGCCTACCTAATTTAATAATTTTTCAGTAGCACTAGTCTAGATTGACTAGATAGTAGTATAGAAAGATAATTATTTCCGTGGCATATCTGTCCTTTAGGATCTATTCAATTTTAAATCTCTTCTATTTCAAATTGTTTGTAGATCTATATCTACAAGCTTAGGCTTAGGTCTAAAAATATACTAAAGCTACACATTATTCATAAAATTAATGCCATTAATGGCTAAAATTCACTGAGCATTGTTGCACTTATTAAGACTTAAACGTAAGGCCTAAATACTAAATAAAATTATTACGGTAGCTTAATTTTCTTGACAGCTTTTCTCTTCTTTTTTGCCATGCTTAATTTAAGTCACTTTCATGTGCTGGTAGCTTAAAATAAAACTTGTTTAGGAAGTTTATTTCTTTCTCCCTTTCATAATGCTGCAAATATGAGTAAGACGCTTATTATTATAATTAAATAGCTGCGATAAATAATCATTTGCATCTTTTTGGGGGTATTTCTTTTCCATAAACTGTGAAATATGGTATCTCAAATTTTGCGCGTAACTCAAAGCGAAATATTACTCGCTCAACTGCTCGTATTTAAAAAATCTGGTATGTCGAGGCACTAGAATGTTGAGGTACCACAGGATCTACTATGTATTGAAAGAAAACATAAATTAATTATAGAATAATAGGCCAATATAGTAATAAAGTATAGCTTTAGATTTTATTCAGCCTACTAATAAATAATTAAATAGGCCTAAAGTAGTACTAGATATTAGATAAATCACTAGTATTGTGTAGGGTTATTTTTATTAAAAAAAACAGATCACATCTTATACTTGACTTATACATTAAGGCGGGCTCAATAAAATAAAAATAATTTATTTAGGACCTAGGCCTATGTTTTGGAGATCTAAAATTCTAAATGAAAAATAAATTATTAATTAGACCAACAATAGGCATAGTAGTCTAAATCTATTTTAGTATTTAAATTTAAGGCTCGGCCATCTACTAAAAATTTTATAAATGTCATAAAATGGCCTACTTTATTATAATTACTAATTACTATTAGGCCTAAGTTAAAACCAGACCTAGCCTATTTTATTAGTAGAGTTAAGATGTTATGGCCTTTTGTAAATTAATGTAATCAGTGTTAGATTATGATATCGATCAAGCATTTATTATATAATATCGGAAAGGGGCCTAGCACTCTCTTAGTCATTAGTCTATTATTAGGTCTTACAAGTAGTTTAGCCTATTTATATATTATATAGGCTGTTATTTAAATTAGGCCAAAGGCTTATTAGGAAAAGGCTTAATAGGCTTTAGTTTTTAATTAGGCGACAAGGCAGAGGCTTAATGTTGCTTATAGATTTAATTTGAAATTATTATGATATACGCTGCTCTGCGGCTATCACTTAACTATAGACTACTATAGAGTATATTATAGCCTAGGCCTATCTAAATAAAATAATTCAACTCACTTAGCTTACCATAATTTTTAAAAATGTTTAGTTAAGTATTCAGCTCTCTATGTCAGCTAAGGCCCATAATTGTAATTATCCTACTGTTAGATCTATTAATTATTTAATGATTAGTAGGCCTAATTATAGGAATTAGGTCTGATACATTAAGTCCTATATATTGGTCATAGAGTAATACTATTGGGCTAGTAATTATATACAATATCTATACAAACCTACTTATCGTTAATTTGGGAGTCTTTGCATTGGCCTTAGTTTTCAGATGAAGCAGCCTAATTTTTTATCAGATTATACCATAAAATCAAAAGTAGACTTGTAGATCTTTTTAAAACAAGGCATGAAATATTAATTTAAATAATATAAACAAATAGCCTAAATAACAACTACACAAAGTTAAAGTCATAATAACTTTTTATAAAGGTATCTTGAATTTCAACTGGAGGTAGTTTTGATAAATATTAGTATTCTGAACATTAAAATAGGTAGACTTAACATAAATTTGTTCTGAAAACATATTTAGAAATTGGTTTTAAAAAATGAGGTTAGGATTGGGGTGATAACTAGTTGAGGATTAGATATGAAATTCATTGTGTTTATCCATGTTGTAATTTCTCTTTTACAGGTTCACCCAAAAAAAAGGGAAGATCTGATTTTTACCAGTAATAAGACTACAGCATACTAAATGACACAAGATGTTCTTTCTCTATTACCTCTTACATTTGACATAAAAGCAGGAAAAGGTATGACAATTATTAATAAGCTGCTTTAAATTTTATAATTTGTTTTTTATAACTTGATTGTACCATTTTTATTTCCAATGTTGATAAATATAATTTAGTGTCATTTATATTTTAAAATATTTATATTATACTAGATATAATATACTTCTATAATATTACTATCCAGGTTTAACAGTCTATGCCTACAACATAGATTATGATAGATCTCCAGGACTAAAAGTGCAAAAAATTGCAATCAGTATATCACAAGTATTATAACACACGCATCTAATCTGCTTCAGTGGCGAGAACTGGGTGAATCCTCTCAAACATTAATCAGGTAAGTTATCACAAGTTTGCTTTGGTTTATTTTGAACATGTTGATTGAGATAGATTTTTATTTGTATAAATATTGTATTTAAAAAGTATTTTACCTAGTAAAACCAAGTCAGTGGTGATGATTGATACAATATGTATTTTTTAAAATATTTAATAATATTTTAAATATGCTGATTTGCAGGAAGGAAATATATATATATATATATATATATATATATATATATATATATATATATATATATATATATATATATATATATATATATATATATATAACATCATTTAGTGGTTTGTCTTACAAATTTGAATTATTTAGTTACTTAATCTGTCTTAACTGCTCAACAGGAACTAGGCATACCTAATGAGTGTCAAGCTGATACAGTAGATGTACAGAAGAATTTTAACACAAGGTAAATATTGATAAATTTTAAGTTTTCTTTTTTTAAGGTTACATGTAGTGTTTTGGGAGAAAGGAATTAAATTATTTAAATTAGGCCTAATAGTTTATTTCTCTATCTTATGTTTCTCTTAAAATAACTTAAATTTTTACCCCTTTATCACTAAAGCAAAATTTATAGATATCTATGCCATGATTCATCTCATTCAATCACTTTTTTCTTGTTTTGTTTTGATGTATTAAACTAATTTAAACTAAAGATTATTTTTTTTTTGCTAATTTTATTATTTCAGATGGATGATTAAGAAAATCATTTTGTTTTGTTTCAGGAAGTGAAAAGTGATGTAAAAGGCAACTAATACTTCCATCTACCATAGTTAAACAAGAATCTGCAAATGGTGATAATTGCAATAATCTTGATATGTTAATGTTTGGCTTTATAATTATATGCCATTGTCAGGTTTGATAAATAAATTATTTCTCAAAATTTGATGTATTTGGTTTTTTACTTTGTACATAAGATGCAAGTGATTGAAAGCTGAAAAGTGTTGTATGTAGTTATAGTATTCCCAGCACAAGTTGACATTAAAACAGCTGAAGCCCTTTAAAAAAAAACACAAAAAAAAAACAAATAATCTAGGAATGCTGTTTCTATTAGCTGAGCACGGAAAAGAACTTAATTGTTTACCAGAGAATACTGTGACGCAGTTTGTACTCCAGGCAAAAAGTGCCTATGTTTATTATTATTAAGTTAAAGAAAAGTATCAAACAAACAGGATAATATTAATAATAAAGACCTCCACACTAGAGAAGTATGGAATCCAAATCAACTTTGATGTTGCTAATTGCTACACTGGCCATAATTGGCCTACATTGACTTTTGCTGAGCTAGGCAACTGTTTTTGTTTAACTTTAGATGTCGACTAAATAAAGAAGAAAACTGACACGCCAATACTAAAATCAAGAACTTGTAAAGTTCGTGGTTGCTAAACCGAGAAGTCCTGAGTTCAATCTCCCGTGTAGATGAGGCTCTATAGTTGGGGATAGCAACCTATCTTGGGGATACAACACTTGTTTTTGGATTGACAAAAGATAAGAAATCCAGAAAGAAAAGCAACTGAACGAAGAAGAAAAAGGCTGGATATATTCGGTATCAACTGTACAATTTTAACAGACACACATTTCAAACTACACATGCATTTCAATGACAAAGTTCAGTGAAGCCATAATGTTGAATTTGACTGAATGAAGAACGATATTGTTATTTCAAGCAAAGTTAAGGTTTATTGTCTTAAAGACATTGTCGTGGATTGATTTAGACTAAGACTTCCCTGTTAAATAAGCCGACAACGATGGCTCTTCTTATTTCTCGTCTTTGATGTTGCTTTCAAGAACTTGTATGAGATTAGATTACCTACATAAGGCTACAAAGTTTGGAATCTTGGCTTTCTAATAGTGGACCTGGCTACATGACATTACCCCCACCCCGTCAATTACCCCCCCCCCCCCTCCCGTATTTACCCCCCCCCCCCCCGGGCAATTACCCCTTGTCAATAACCCCCCTGGAGACCCCCCCCCCCGGCCTCAAGTTATGATCCTAACTCAAACTCTATACCTATGTATTTCCTTAATCCTAATCGATAAAAAAATGACCAAACCCTAAGCATTCACCTCAGCCTAAAACTTAACACATAACCAAAACCAACTCTAGACTTAGGTTTCAGCCTAACCTTGACCATAACACTAACCCTAATCCTAGCCTTAATCCTAACCCTGACCATAACACTAACTCTAATTCTGAACCTAACCCTAACCTTAGCCCGAACGCTAACCCTAACCTTAGCCCGAACGCTAACCCTAACTCTAGCCCTAACTCTAACCCTAGCCCTAACGCTAACCCTAACCTTAGCACGAACGCTAGCCCTAGCCCAAACTCTAACTCTAGCCCTAACTCTAACCCAAGCCCTAACGCTAACCCTAACCCTAGCCGTAACCCTAACCATAATCCTAACCTTGGCCAGAACGCTAACCCTAACTCTAACCCTAGCCCTAACGCTTACCCTAACCCTAGCCGTAACCCTAACCATAATCCTAACCTTGGCCAGAACGCTAACCCTAACTCTAACCCTAGCCCTAACGCTAACCCTAACCGTAACCCTAACCATAACCCTAACCCCAGCTGTACCTTAAGAGGTGTGTCCGTGGGGGGGGGGGGGGGGATGTCCTCCTTGGCGGGGGGTAAATGACAGGGGATAATTGCTTCAGGGGGGGGGGGAGAGAACTAATAATCTGTAAGTCCTACTATTCACAAATGTAAAACAAAATAAGCAGTGTTTTTATTATTTGTATCCTTAAAAAATGCAAAATAAATGCTACGCCATTAACTCAACCCTCTTTTTTCTCGTTACATATCGTCACATAAAGCCACCGCCCAAAATGATGGTGACGTCAATATACAATCATAAAGTGGTCACCCATTAACGACGACTCACTCTTCAGACGATTTTGCACCCAACCCCCCTTCTCTAATTGTAACACATTTTCACAAAAAGCCAGATCTTCGCTTTCCCCCCCCCCCCCCCCACCACCACTCTCTTTAAAAACACCACACCTCAACACATAACCCCCTCCGCCGTTCCCCTGAAACTGCATTTTTACTTTCTCGTATATACGAAGTATAGAGAAAGTCTTGTAATCGTGCAAAAAAAAAAATCGAGATTTTTTTTACAAATCTCGACGTTTTACACCTTACTGATACGGAAAAACATAATTTTGCAATCTTGTCTGTATGTCTGTGTGTCTGTGTGTGTGTCTGTGTGTAAACACGATTACTTGAGTACCGTTACAGCTAGGTTGATGAAATTTCATATATAAGTATTTTATCAAAATCGAAGATCCGTATAAGCTTTTGAGCGATTTCCGATAACCGAAAGTGGTACTTTTTCTACTTTGAATTTTTCAAAAGCCTATAACTTAAGTACTATTTCAGATAGATAAATGAAATTTCACATGTAAGTCAAAGATGTAATTCTCTGCCTTCTATCAAATTTTGAGTAAATTCCGTTGACAGGAAGTACTTATTTACGCTATTTCCGATTTCTCAAAAAAACGCACGTAAATTTATAAAGTACTAATAATGTTGCGCACTATTATGCACATCTTTATTTGGCGTTCACTTGGTGTGCAATTCTTATTTCTACTAGGTTTTGTTCTATTTTAAAAAGTTTAAGTATTTAAAGTGGATTAAAAATCATGTCTATTTCCCGAGTTGCCATTCCCGGTAGTGTTAAATTAGCATATTCGAGAAAGTTTAGGGGAGATCACTCCCGGTTTATTATAATATGTACTGACCTCGATAAACATTGAGTTAATAAATGAATTAATACCAAAAGCAACCGTTTAAAGCCCGAAATAACGGATGAAAGCAAAAATGTGTCGTCACACTTTCCGATCACCCCTTCTCATAAATGAAAAAAAAAGCATGAACATACTAAAGGAGAGTATGGATGTTGATGGAGGATCCCAACGTTAAAAATTAAAACAGAGCAAAATTTCAGGAATCCATGTTACATATTATTATTTTCCTTAGGTATAACAAAGGTATTTACATTGTGTTTTATGTTTTACGAGCCGCTATCATACGCCGCTATTTAGTTGTTTCATTTTCTACTTTTCAGTAATTCATAATTTGTGAATTCGACAGTAACAATGCTGCCACTGAAAATATTTAAAACACTATCAGTAGCTCGTTAAGGACGATAACCTCCCCCTCCCCACCCTCCTTTCACACAAACCCTACCTCCCCCCCCCAGTGAAAGCAGCCCCCTCTGAGTTACCTCCACTAAGTTTAAAATCTTTAAAACGAACGTAGGCGCAATACTGTTTATGAGGGACCCACACAGAGGCGCTAGACCACACGCCAGTGGTGCAGTAGACACAAGTTTCCCTACTGTAGGGCGCTCTTTTAAAACTCATAGTGTTCCTCCCGAAGCCAGGGGGGCGCACCGGGTCAAACGAATTGTCATCGAATGTCGTGTGCCACAGAGTCAATATTGTAGAGTGCTCTTTAACACAACCTTAGGATATCCCAGGGCGCCAAATCGCATCCTGCCGGGGCGCCGGCAGACGCGCCTGATTCCATATAGTCCAATTATTGTTGACCATCGTGTCTTTAGTGTATAAATAAAAAAAAAACGAACGTAGGCGTCGTAGTGTTCACATGGTAGCACGGGGCGCTTCGGGTTACGTAATATCCGGGGCGCCGGCGGCTGCGCCTGTTGTTGCTATTTTACCTTAGCCCCCATGCAGAAGGCTCAAGTTTTAATATCGCCGCCCTGGATTTTCGGGCGCCAAGCCATTTATTAACAAAAATCGCACCCACTAGGGAAACGCCCATAATAAATTTTAATTTTTGTTTTCGCAGAAACCTTCTCGTGAGTGTTTTCATTAACTCTCGAAAGTTTAACGGCACTCAGATGAACGAAGTCAAACAGCATCCGTTTTGTTTTTTACAAACTGTGTAGAGAAAAATTGCACCCTCCAGGAGCGCCGCCCTGTTAAAAAAAAAAAAAATGCCTGTAACCTCCACTAAAGTTTTATGGCGAGCGGATGAACGGGATTAAACCGCAATCTACTTTTTCGTATATATACCCTATATAGGGAAGAATCGATTCGCGCCCTGCTGGGGCACCGTGCTTGTGAAATATATCCAGTGGTATTCTTAACTTAAGTTGCATGGCCATAGGATGAAAGGTGTAGTGCTGCATAGAGGACATAAACAAACCCACAAACAAACAAGCAAAACTTCATTATATATATACATAGAGAGAAATATACATAATTCTACATATGCATATATGCACATATATATATATATATATATATATATATATATATATATATATATATATATATATATATATATATATATATATATATATATAGCTACATTTGGTGACTTCCCATTTTCCCCAATGGCGTCAAATTTTGCACATAATCCACCTATTAATTCATGTGAAAAAAAGCATCGTTTTCATCGTAAATTATTAGATTTTGGTATCAGCCTCTCTCCGGTCGTCGCTTAGCAAATCTGTTATCCAAAAATTCAACAAGCATGTATTCACCTGTACATTTTGCCGTTTGTGTCATTTCCCCTCACCCCCCCCCTCCCCCCCCGGGTGATATTTTTTAAACGTGCACAGTTAATTGTATATTTTTTTTATCTGCAGTCAGTTATTAGTACAGTTAACTCTCATTAGTCATTTATTGAACTGTCAAAATGCATACTTCTTCTATATATTTTGCTATTTTTCGCCAGGGTGTCACCCCCGAAATTTTTCCACCTTGAGCAGTCCTCAGCCCCGCCCCCCACCTTGGGACGCCTCTGGTTAGGGGTACTACTTGAGTACAGTAAATATGTATATATATATATATATATATATATATATATATA